CCCTCCTCCCAGGAGCCTTCCTGGACTATCTCCCTTTGACCTAAGCTTACCCACTGGGATCAGAGTTGCTCCCTGAGGTCATGAAAAGAGAAGAAGAGAGCCAGCTCTTGGCGCAAGTGATCCATGTTGGTAAAAGGGCTCCGCAGAGCTCACTCAGCAGTTAGGGGAGGGAGGGACTAAGCCAGGCAGAAAGGTAAGTCGCTTCTGCAATGGAATCAATCTTTCATACCCACAGTGCAGTGCTGGGAGATATGTACATGTGGGATTAAATAACAAAGAACAGCAAGGGAAAGATTAATACAAGTTTGAGGATTATGCATCTTTCTGGGAAGGAGAAGAGGGTATGCATTTAGAGAGGATCATGGGAGGGTTTTCAAAGGTGCTGGTCTTGGGCTTCTGACATTCAATACTGGGTACACAGGTGGTTCTTCATTATTCTTCAAACTGGGCCTAGGTTATACACAAACTCTTGGTATATGATACGATATATGTCTCCAAAAAAAAAAGGGCAGGTCAGTTGGAAGGCTACCTCCAACCTGAAGTCAGCAGCTGCCCCAGCAACAGGCCTCCTGTGTTTTAGGTGGGGCCAGAGAGGCTGAGCTCCACACCAGTTAGTTCCTGTCCCATCCGGAGAAAGTGGCTGGGGAGCCTGAGTCTAGGCAGACTGCAGAAGAACCCTGAGAATGAGGGGCCTTCTCAGAAAGTTGTCTCTGCCCTGCCTCTCTCTGCACCCCGCCACAGCCCCAACCTCTGGTGTGTGCTTCCAAAGGACTGCCAGACTCACCTACCATGAGACACACCCGGCAACTGGAGGCAGGGCTGCCTTATCACTGGGCTGGCAGGTAGAGGACAGAAAGTACAGGCCACCAGTGCTGCTTTGGGGAAATGCCATTAACTGTGCCAAGAGTGGTATGGCCTTTGTCCCTTGTGGGGCTGGTGATATTCGGTGAACATGTATAAACCAGCTGGTATAAACCAGCATGAAGTCATCACTGGGGACTAGCTTTGACCTTCCTGACACTTCCAACCACTCAGGCCAGCTTTTCTATATTTTCAGTACCAATGAGGGAGAAGTTGAAGTGGATGCTGGTGGGTAGGCAGGCTGAGAAAGGAGAATGTGACATTTGAGAGCACCGGCTCTGGGATCCAACACCCAGACCTGAGTTCAGATCTCCATGCCACCCTGAGCTAGCTGAGTGACCTTGGGCAAATCACTTAACCTCTATGACCCAGCTTTTCTCATTTGTTAATTGGGGATACGCACAGTCCCCACCTCCGTGGATTGTTGTATTAAATAAGGTGATCCAAATAAGGAATTTAGCACAGAGATGGGTTCATGGTACATTCTCAACAGACATAAATCTCAATTATCAAAGAGGAGGTCTGGGATTTGCCTGGAGCTAGAAGCAGTACTCCTGCACTAAGCCCCAGTCCTCTTTAAGGAAAAGAACTAGAAAAAATTAGTGCTTCAAAAGTGGTAAGGTCTACCTAAGCCACCAGATAGAAGAAACAGAATAAATTTGCTATTAAAAAGAGTAGCAAACAATAGTTTGCACTAAACAAACAAAAGCCAGCAATAACATTAGAAGTCCAGGAACAGAGAAGGGACTCCCACCTATCAGTCCTGAGTCCCCACCTCCCGGGCCTGACCTTCAGGAAGCGGCTCCTGCCTAACCCAGCTGCCCGATGGGCCTCAGCGCCGTTCGGCTTCATGGTATCTTCGTATCCTGGCACTTGCATCCTTTCCCATTCTCTCTCTCCTCTCAACACCTTTCTGCCTCTCCTGGCCACCTTGTCCCTTTATCTTGGCACCTTGAAGCTGCATTAGGGAAATAAGAAATAAGATTTTGAGGGAGGAGAAAAGAAGGGAGGGAGGGGAAGGAAGGAGGGAAAGGAGGAAAGAAGGAAGAGAGGAGGGAGGGAGGGAAGGAGAGAGGGGAAAATGGAAATGGTATTTGGGATCAACCAAACCCATATCTAATCCCAGTGCTACCAGAAATAGGGCGGGGGCTGTGTGACCTTGAATAGGTTCCTCAACCTCTCTGAGCCTCAGGCCCATTGGAGTTACAAGTCAGAGATGTGCAGAGGTGTACCAAGTTTCCCAGGGAGCCTGCATGTGGGGTGGCTGTTCAACACCTGAGTACCCTCAAGTTCCCTCTCTCAGCTTTTTTGGACCTGTTTGGGTCAGGGTGGAAGGGGCAGAAAGGAAGAAAAAGGAATATGGATCAAATGCCCTGCAGAGATGATGGAGGGGATTATCAGCCTCTCCCCTCTCCACTAGGGAGGCACAAAACAGCTGGTGTTCCCTTTTCCCCACAGGGGCTCACTCATTTTCGAGCACCCCCAGTGGAAATCCCAGTGCCCTCAATAGTTCTTCTATGGCAAGGGCACCCTTGTGAGCCCCACGGAGGTGACAGCTACCACATTAGGGGTGAGAGCATGCTGTCACGGTTACTGCAAGGTTCTGGAAGTAGGCTGGGCCAGCACCTCCCTCCACCACTTGTTGCTCTGACCTTGGCTAATAAGCTCCTCCCTCCTCTGTGGCTTAACTGCCTCACTTGTGAAATGGGCCTCTTGTCTTGTGAGGACAGAAAGGAGTTAACAGACAGAAACTCTTAGAAAGGGGCCTGGCTCACCGGAAGCACTACAGGAGGTGCTGGGGAAATGGCAGCTATGCGTTCTGGTTCGGTTAACCCCCGTTGCCCATCTCAGCATCCACTCAGGCTTACTTTACAACATCCCCGAACCACCGCAGGGAACATGGGCTGAGGGTGTTTCCAGCGCAGCCTCATGGCTCCTGTAGCTTAGACCATTGATGTAATGAGGAATTGAGTTTTATTTGTTATTAATGAGCATGTTTTTATTGCTTCTGTGTTACCTGCTGCACATTGTCCTCTCAGATTAAAATAATACCTCCATTAATAATACCTTGCACTTGGGGAGCAGCTTTCATCCCCACAGCGCAAAGCCCTCTGCAGACATGACCTCATTCATTCTCCCTGAGCTCCCAGGAGGGGGACAACTACACTGAACTGCCTGAAAAGGGGAGCCCTACCCACATTCATCTCCATGCAGAATTCTCAGAAGCCTAAGTATTGATCAAGCATCTCCATACTCAGGACTGCAAATCACAGGCAGAAGAACTCTCTGTGCCCAGAGGGACCTATGCCCACAGAAGAAACCCAGAACCCGAGTGTCTTTGGCTTGGGGGTCTCGCCTTCCCTACCCCTTCCAGGGGCCCATAGCTGTGCCCTACAAATGGTAAACAGTAAAGAAACCTTCAGAATAAACTGCCTGGATATCCAGGAAAAAATAAGTTTGGTGGTTTTGCTGTTTTCAGGACCTTTACCTACCTTGAGAATTTCTTTATTAAGAGTTAAGGGCACCTGTAGCCTGAAATGCCTCTGCCCACCCAGGTAGATCCTGCTACTCATGGCCTTAGCACGTTTGACACCTGTATGTACTTGTGAAAACTGGAGCCCCACGAAGACAGTACTTCCTTGTTCTGAAGCTGCTTGTGGCCCGAGCTCCCTGGCAATGCAAACTGCTGGCTGCTCACTTTTGTTTCCACCTTGCAATTACTGGAAGGGAAGGGCTGCAAGCTGTGCTCTACTCTCTAGGTCTCAGCCCATGTGCACCTTGGGGATGTGACAAGTCTCAGCAGGCAAAAAGCTGACTACTATCCCTTCAAAACAAACAAAAAGACAGGGTAAATGGGATAAACTCATTATAATGCCCTAGGCTGTTTTTCATCAGCACATACACATTGGGTGTAATTTTTTCCTTATTTGTATTCTATTTTTTATATGGTGAAGTGCCCTTAGATGGAGAGTTAAATCCGCTTCAGGCAAAGTCAGAATAGAACGATGGCTTGCTTTCTACTTAGCCTCCTGTTCGGCAGACCCTTAACTGAAATATAGTCTGATTGGTATTTCAGATCCCAAGATGTTTTTCAGAAACAGAAATTCTAACAGTGAATTTTTGTAATATTTACCTCCCTAACCTCCTTGCCCCATCCTCAGTCTGTTTAAATGCCTAGTTCTTTCCCCACCCCAAGGACTCCTAAACACAAACCCTGAAGGTCAAATCCTAATCCAGAAAATGGAAGCTCAGTGCATATACTTTGTTTTTAAATGACTAGGGTTGAGAGCCAGTCAGAGTCTGCATAGAAAGACTCTTATTTTTAAAAAGATGGTAGAAATTAAAGCTTGAGTGAAGTCAATCAATTTAAGAAAAAAATTCTCAGTTTGGGGGATATTAGTCATTAAGAAAGTCTCATTTTTTTTCCCCTTGCAATTACACTTAGTGGACGTCAACATTGGCTTACATGGTCACACAGAGCAAAGTTTTTGGTCTAAAAGGGTAGGAGGTAGAAGACTGCTTAGCCCTTGGGGAGAGTACTGACCGGAAGAAGGCATGAAACGGGTCTCGGCAGGCAAAAAGCTGACTCCTATCCGTTCAAAACAAACAAACAAAGACAGACTAAATGGGAATAACCTCATTATACTGCCCGAAGCTGTTTTCCATCAGTACATACACACTGGGTGCACACATCGGGCACGTTATATTTCAATAAAAGGCTTACAAAAGTAGAGCTACTTGAAAGTTAAAAAGAAAATAAACAATTTTGAGACTCGAGCAGCTGCACAGGTCCTGTCTCTCTTCTATTTTGATCATTCTGTTTCTCGAGATGACCACATCTTTCAGAGGAAATGAGTCAAAGCCACTCTGTCTTGCTTTTCCAGCTGAGCATGTTCGGTTTCAATGAAGTAATGAATGAACTTATCCGCACCACCCCCAAGCCCACAACAGCAAACAGACGGCCTCGGCCAATCAGCACACAGTCAAGGTTTTCAAGTTGAGTTCAAACCGGCCCAGGGGAGGCCAATCAGCACTCACGGCTCCGCCTCAAAAGCCCGGCCGTGGCCAACCACAAGCCCGGAAGAGCCAAAACACAGCGGCCGGCCAATGCTAGGGAGCCCCACGGCGCCGGCTTCCGCCAATGGGCGCGGCCGAGCAGAAAGAGAAACAGAGCGAGCCGCAGGCCTTGGGATTCGAATCGGACGTCCGCACGGAGCCGGCGCCGGCCGAGTGCGCGAACCAATCAGCGGCTGCGGCTCGTGGCCCCGAACGTTGGGACCCTCCCCGCCCCGCGCCGTTGTTTGTGGTGTCGACAACCGCGGGAGCCGGGTCACAACACTCGCCTGGCGGCGGGCAGCGGCGAGGTCCCAGGCCGCGGCGGCGGCGAGCACGAGCCCAGGACGCCGCCCTCCTGCGGCCGCCGAGCCATGTCGGTGAACATGGACGAGCTGCGGCACCAGGTCATGATCAACCAGTTCGTGCTGGCCGCGGGCTGCGCGGCCGACCAGGCAAAGCAGCTGCTACAGGCGGCCCACTGGCAGTTCGAGGTGCGTGCGGGCCGGAGTGAGCGCGCCGGCGGCCCGGGGACCCGTGGGGCGGGGACGCGGGCGGTGCGCTGTTTACCGCGCCGGTCGACGATCCGCGGCCTCGGGGCCTGCGTGGGGCGCGCCTGGGGCCGGGGGCGCAGCACCGGGCGGACGAGCCTGTTCGTGGACCGGGCCGGCGGTAGGCTTCCTGCCCCTTGCCGGTTAACCGCCGCCCTGCCGCTGTGTTTGTCCGCAGACCGCCCTGAGCACGTTTTTCCAAGAAACCAACATTCCCAACAGCCACCACCACCACCAGATGGTAAGTACGGCACCGGCGGGGGCCGCCGAGGGCACGGGCCGGGCCGCTGTCATCGCCGGCGGTGACAGCCATGTTGCCGGGGAGCGCCCGCCGCGATGTAAACAAAGAGCCAAAATGTCTTCCAGGAAAGTGAGGCCCGGGCCGGCCGCGAGGGCCGGCCGCCTGCGTCGCTCCACTTCGGCCTAAGAGCTCGGGGTCGAGGGGCACCGGGATCGGCGAGGCAGCTGGGAGCTGGGCCCCGGGGGAGGGGGCCTGGGAGTGGGGTGTCGGTGTTTATGGGGGGCCCCACTTGCTGGTTGAGTGGCAGCCCCCCAGCCACAGAAGCAGCTCTACAGGGAACAGGAAGAGAGGATAAATCCACCCTGGCTCAGGGAGCTGGGCTCTCCCCAGATATGTTCATTTCCTCCTGTTGGTGGGAAAAGGACATGCCCTGAGCGTGGAGGACATACAGATCCTGACAAGATAAGGCCAAGGATTTGCATTTGATTTCAGTACGCGAAGACACGTACAGGAAATAGAAGTAGTTCCAGTCTGAATTTTGCTTCTCTTTTCCAAACTGGCCCCCGGGCCCAAGCCTCTGCCCTCCTGGCCAGTGGGGTGTCCTGCCTTCCAAGAGCACAGGACATCCCTTTCACTTCAGCGGCTTGCATGCCTTCTCCACCCCACCCCCCTAGTTACCTATTAGCCCTGCCGGGGGACGGAGGCACTGGGCCCTGAGATAGGGGTTGTAAAACATTATTCCCCAGGAGATGTGTTGTGGCTTCTGGAGTGCATTTTTGGCATTTTTAACACTTGGTGTCCTTGCTCATGGTTCCCTTCTCAGAGCTGCCACCCTGCCAGGGGGAGCCACAAATGGTTCCTCGGCTGTCTTGTCCTTGGCGTCCTGTTTTCATCTAGCTGCAAAGGACAAGTGGGGGGAAGGGTCTGTCTTGACCTTTTAACCAGCTTTTCTCTTAGAATGGCTCATGCTCTATAAAAAAAAACACAACATGTTTTGGAATGTGATGGGAGAATTGTACTGGCTGCAGGCCTGTGGCAGCTGAAGCCGGTTTCTTTGTAAACCTGAGAAGGGTTGTCTCCAGGAGACCCTGCCCTGCCTGCACATGACTGCCGGAAAGCTTCACTCCCACCTTGCACTTCAGCCTGAGAAGGCTCTGCTTCCATCTCTCAAAAGAGCCTTGTGCTTTGCTCCACCAACTGTGGCCATGCCAAAAGGCCCAGGGCTCCAGCAGAGCCATTCTGGGTGCTGAGAACAGGGAGGCTCACCCAGGAGAGCTGGGACTGGTGACGCTTTAGGTCCTGCTGCTCCTCTTCAAATTCCAAGGGATTTGCGATCCTCTTTGAAGCATCTTTGAAGGCAGGGGGCAGGTTTTATAATAGACATAATTGGTATGTCCATCAGTGCACCAAGTATTGAGTTCAAACAGACTTCATCAACACAGTGGAGAACGCCTCCCTCCTGGAGCCGGTAATATATTTGTAGAGACAATAAAAGGAAAAAGTTAAATAAAACCTGACCAGTAAAGGCATAATAGCAATACCAGAAGTGACCCAGGGCATGAGTAACTGATAAACGGTTGTTTGGTAGATTACTGTACATTCAGTCGGGGGCATCTTCCCAATGAAGGTGGGGGGTCCTGGTTTGGACTGGGAGGGGCCAAGAAGCGGAGAAAGGCCCTCTGGATGGGAGGCGGTGGGACACTGCGAGGGCACAGTGGACATGGGTGTGCTTGAGAAGCCAGAAAGCACCAGACACACTTGTTAGAAGCACAGAGCTGGAGGGGCTATTTTTTAGAGCGTCTGGTCCAAACCCCTGGTTTATGGTTTTACCAAAGCAGAGAGAAACTCCACAGAAGTTCGGGAACTTGCCCAGCTCACACAGGCTTGTTCCGGAGCCAGGCGATCCCGGCTCTCCGGTGCAGGATGGCTTTGAGGAGACAGGCTTCGCTGGCTTGGTGATCTGGGGAAATATTGGTGGTGTGATGCAATTGGCTCTACCGCCCCCCCCATTCATTGTTTCTTGCTGCTCAGAAGTCAGCTCCGGGGTTGGGGTGGGAGGGCGGAGAATGGTGAGGGGAGGAGGGAAATGGTCTGGGTGGGGCCAGGCCTGCTCTGAGTCCTGTGGCTGCCCCTGAGGAAGACAATGGTTGGAGCACCCTAGCTGCTGGTACCGGGCCAGCCCTGGTAACAGGACGGGTTTTGCCTCCCACCCTCCCGTGGGCTGCTCCCTGAGTCTGGCTGGAGTTTAGCTGCAGAGCTGTGAAAGCTCTCTCTGCTAGGTGAAGAGCCCTAGAATCTTGCTCCCCAAGCTCCATGCCTGGGGGAGGGGCCAGTGTTGCTAAAATTAGGAGAAATTCAAAGAAGGACTCCATGGCTTCCTGGGAAAGGCAGAAGCTGCTGTGAGGTCAGAATGTGCTCTGTGTAGGCCTTGTTCTCTGCTGCCCCTTCCCCATGCCCCTGGCAAGACACTTGTGGATGGCACTCCTATCCCAGCCTTGCTACTGCCCCCGATGTTCACAGGGAGAGCATCAGTTATCCCACCCTCACCAGCCCCTGCCCTTCCTGGCTGGTGTCCCTGCTCAAAATGGGTGGGTGATAGTTGGGAGTTTGGGGAGGCCCCCTCCCAGAGTAGTGGCAGAAGACAGCAGATGTTGGGATATTAATAACAACCTCCAGAAAGGGCTGAGGGGCCAAACAGGCTGAGATGCCAGTCTCTGACCCAGGGAGCACGAAGGGAGATGCTGGGGCCGTCTCCTGGGTGTGAGGCTGTGCCTGACTGTAAGTGCAGATAGATGGGAGCTGGGCGGAGGTTGAGAGCTTGGGCCTGTGGGGCCAGGAGTTCCATCTTCTCACTTGTACCCTGCAGTGGGTTTGTTTTGGTCAGGTGACGTGAGCTCAGGACCTGTATTTCCTCATCTGTAATACACAGAATAATCAAAATGACCTAGCATCGTTGTGAGATGCAAGATGATAGAAGCCAGGGCCCCAGGGCCTGCTGGCCGGTACTGGTAGTGTGGAAGGGGCCCAAACGCCAGGGAGAAGCCGTAGCTTCTAGGTCAGCAGAGATGGAGACCCTGGATCCGGCCGCCTTCCCCCGACCAACCACCTCAGGAATCCGAGGGTGGGTTCCTGAGGGAGCCAGCTGGTGTCTTCCCAGGAGGAGGCACTGAGCCGGTGTCCTGGGCTGCTCCCTTGTGCTCACTTTAATTTGACACCCTGGCTTCTGGTCAGAATTAACTGTTTACTTTTGACTCTCCTCAGGGTGTCATTCCCAAGCATCATGAAATGCTCTTTGGTTTTTATACAAATTGTTAGTATTTGTCCTTATTTTTTGTTTTTATTGGCTCAGGGTGAGAGGGGTGTGTTTGTCCTTTGGAGCTGCCTGTGGCCTGAAAAATGAGAATAAAGGAGGGGCCAGCCTGGGTGAGCCCCATCGGAGGCTCTGTGGAACCATGGAGCAAAGCTTGGAATAGGGGGCTCCTGTGGGCAGCCCTCCCGACAACTGTGCTCTCTCCCAGCAGATGTGCACCCCCAGCAACACACCTGCCACACCGCCCAACTTCCCCGACGCCCTGGCCATGTTCTCCAAGCTTCGTGCCTCCGAGGGCCTGCAGAGCAGCAATAGCTCCATGACAGCAGCGGCTTGCTCCCCTCCTGCAAACTTCAGCCCCTTCTGGGCCTCATCCCCACCCAGTCACCAGGCCGCCTGGATCCCACCCTCCTCCCCCACAGCCCACAGCTTCCACCACCTCCACCACCCACAGCCCACGTGGCCCCCCGGAGCACAGCAGGGGGGTGCCCAGCAGAAAGCCATGGCTGCCGTGGATGGCCAGAGATGACACTGGATGCCGCCGGGCACTGGGCTGGAGTGGGGGCAGTCCAGGGCCGAGGGGACACAGCAGGGGCAGGGTGGGGGGAAGCCAGGGTGGGTGGGGGTTTCCTGAAGATCGCACTGGAAGATTTTATAGAAGAATTTTTGTGGGTGGGTGGGGACAGTAAACTTCCTGAGCCACTTGGGTCCTTCAGGAGTTTCTCTTCAGGCAAGTTTTTTTCTCTTTTTAATATATAACTATAATATATATGAATATATAAATATGACTAATGTATGTGAGAACGGGGCTGGTCAGCCAGGGTGTTAGGATCAGTAGGGAAGGGCCAGAGGGCCCTCCTCTTGGACCAGCACCCCTTCTCAGCCAGTCCCAGGGCAGGTGTTTGGAAGCCAGGGGTGTGACCTTACAGTCACATAAGGTGCCTGCTAGTTGCCTCCTTTCAAAGGTCATACCTGGAATGGGGAGAGGGAGCCCACCGCTGCGCGCTCTGGGCAGCGGCTGTAGGAGCAGCTCCCAGTGGTGCCGGTGCCCGTGGTGGGAGCCTCTCTCGCATCACACGGGTCCCTGCCCCCATCAGTGGGGGCACAGGGCTTGTGCACAACCAGAGCTGGCATGGGTCCCACCCAGGCTTTCAGGGACTTGGTCCTCCGCAGCCATCTGCCTCCCACTGTGTCCAGACCAGTCGGATGACAGAGCAGAGAGCTGGCCTTTGGATTTCGTTCCCAAATCAATCATCTCACCAGGGTGAAATTTTAATTTAAAAAGTGAAGAGACCTTTCTAAGTTCCCTGGTTTGCAGTGCCTTTATTTACCTTGGTAGGAGACGTGCTGGCCTTGGGGTGGAGGGAGGGGCTCGGCTGGCTGTGGTTGGGGAAAGGCTCCATTGCCATGTGGCTGGTCTGGGTGTTCTGACAAGAGGCGTCCAGTCCAGGGGCTTGACGGGACAGGCTGGATCCAGTTGGGTGTGTGGAGGGAGGAAGGACTGGTCCTGACTTGGTTACTGTGACCCTCTTCCCTTCTGTGCCCTCACATGTGGCCCCCCCGACAGGCCAGTCCTCAGCCGTGGAGCCACTGTCTTCATCTGCAGTGGGAAGAGCTGCCCTCCCCGGCTGGTGGCCTGACGGTGGCCCCAGCCCCCTGCCTGGCCCACCAGGTACCTGCTGGCCAGGCCATCTCTGCTCTCCTGCTGTCCCGCCTTCGGGTAGCAGGCCGGGAGTGCACGCTGTGTGTTCATGCCCCCAAGGCCAACCAAAGCTGCTGGGGCTGCAGAGACGGGGTGGGCCCCCATGGGGACTGGCTTCCTTTCCCTTCCCACCTGCCCCACAGCCTACAGACTAGAATGGGGGCAGTGCTAGCAATTCCCCGTCCACTGGAGCCCTTTCTCAGATGCAGAGCCCTCCCAGTGCAGGTGGCTGGGTGGGCAGGGGGCCTGTGTGTGCACAGGGTGGCTGCGCCCGAGTCGGACTCCTGGTGAGCCCCTCCCTGCAGCCCCCGCCCAGCACGTGGGTGTCCTCTGCCCGGTCAGTCGTCAGGGTACTACGGCAGGCTCTGCAGACCGGGCCAAAAGGCTAGAGGGTTGGGCCCGAAACGGAGCGATGCTGGGGAAGGGCCCTGCCTGTCAAGCCGGCCACCCTGCTTATGGGCCTTCTCTAGTCTTCTCCAGTGCTGCTGTGGGGCAACCCAGCGGAGTGGGGAGCAGACCGGGGAGCCAGCTGCCCCAGGCCTCTGCCTTTGATCATGTGCTTCGAGGCTGGCTTTGTCCTTTCAGTTTTGTTTCCTGCTTGGAAACCCCTGAAGCTTCTTCCCCCCTCACCCCTTATTCTGCCCACCTGCGCTTTCCCAGGCGGGGAGGGGAAGTCCCTTGCGGCATGTGGGCCGTCAGTGCTGGGACTTCGGTCCACCCTGGTACTGGGCACAGCGTGGGGGGTGGGCCAGGCCCAGGTGTGGGACTTGGGGGTGGCCTGGGGTGCTTAGGGAATGTTGCTCCTTGTCCTTCCGTGAGTGTTGGGGAGGCCTGGGTGCTGAGGGCTGGTCTGTCCCTGCTACCATTCCTCCCAGCCAAGCTGGTGAGTTTGATTCTACACCAGAGACACTAAGCCAGCGACCTGACATTTCTCAGGCAGGGTGAGAGAAACAGGAGCCCTGGCTGGAGCGCAGGGGCCGGTTCTTCCTGCTTGCAGAGAAAGGGACCCCTGCCCAGAGGGTTGGGTCATTAAGTACAGATGACAGGGATCTCAGCAGACTAGGGAGAGAAGGGGGAGGCCCCCCTCTCAGGACCCCTGCAGCCAGCCCCGCCCCCTTTGCCCACACAGGACAGGGTAGAAACCCTTGTCTGAGCTGTTTCCAGCCACACTTTCCTGTGTGATGCTGTCACTCCCTCCTGTCACACTGTAAGCAGGCCTCATGCCCCAGACTTCACTTCCCCATGTCAGAGGGGAAGATGGGGGCTGGTGGTGCCAATGGAAACATACCTGAAGGCAGAGGACCCTTCCATGTCTGTAGAAGCCTGGGGGTGGCGGGCGGGGGGTAGAGGGCAAGTGTCCCTGGTACCCAGCCTGGGCTTGGGCTGGGGGCCATGGGTACAGATTTGCATCCCCCCAAGCTCTGCCCTACCTGTGGTCCCGTGTCCTCCCACCTGCCAAGACTTCAGTGCAAAGAGCGCCGGGGATAGCAGGGAGCCCTCTTGGTCCTTTGGTGCCAGGTGGGAGCAGTACCAGAGCTAGGCGGCAAGGCCCCAAGGCAAATGCCAGTCACCTGTGAACCTCCTCCCAGGTGAACTTCCTCCTAGCACGCTTCTACCTTCCTAGGAAGAGGAGGGCGGCGGGAGGCAGGCCAGCCCCAGCAGCCCCTGGGCCTGAGCTCCCGCCTCTGCAGCAGCCACTCAAGGGTAAGCTGCAGAGATGGCAAACAGGAGCTTTCCCAGGTGGCTGGTGGCACCCCCAGGAGATGGTGCCAGGAGCCAGGCAGAGCTCTGAGCAGCAGTGGGAGAGCAGCTGCCACCCTCACCTTAGCTCCAAGGTACAGCTCACACGTGGACACCTGACATCCCACTCTCAAAGTGCCCTCGTCAGCAGGGCCACCTTGAAGCCAGATTGCCCAGATGGGAAGGCAGCAGTACCCAGTACTCCTCACGGGTCAGGAGAGAGCTGGTGGGTGACAGCAGGCTCCAGAGAGCCCGGAAAATGGACTGTCCTGTCCCTTCCCAACCCTGGGTACAATGCTCAAGCCTCCCGAGGCCCCAGCACCCTCAGAGAACAGTGTGATTTGTTTGGGGTCCGAGGCTATAAACCAGGCCTGCTCCCTCAGAGGCACCTGGAGCTGGGACAGTCTGGAGGCACTCGCTCAGAGTGGGCCCTCCTTACTCTGTCTCCTGAGCCGGGACCCAAGAAACGCTTTATTTACGGCTCTCCTCGGTGAGCAGTGGTGGACCGCGGCCCCCGGGTGGGCTCCTCAAGCCCTTCTCCAGATGGCATGTCCATGTGCATCCCCAGCCCTGCTGGCAGGTGTGCCACCTCACTGGGACTGGGTGGGTGGGCCACATTCGGCTGGGAGAGGCGCACCTCAGAGGAAACCGGTCTCTCTCTCCGTTGACGAGCAGTTGCTGTGAGACAGGAGGGCTTTGTCTCACTCCCCACACCCACCCTGGCCCACAGCATGCCCAAAGCCCAGGGGAGTCCGGAGCAGCCTGCCAGCCAGGCCCAGCCCAGCCGGGCATAGTGCCGCAGGGGACGCCTGGGCTGGGCGTGCAGGGCAAGCCCTCGGAGGAGCCAAGCAGACCTCCTTTATAAGCTCTGTGAGTTAAAAATAAACAAGCCCGCTGTTGGGCCAAGAGCCTGCCTCGTAAGTAGTGTTTCCTCTATTAATACAGGGACTATTAGGCAGTATTCACACAAATGGTTGCGGGATCCTTCCTAGACTGCACTTCTCTCTCTCCTGCTCCCATCACAGTCTAAGTGTCCCTGGAGTGAACAGAGGGTCAGGGGGGAGGAGGCTAAATGCCCCCAAGACAATCGTCCTGGGGGTCAGGGTCACAGACACAGGCCCTCGGTTGCCACCGAATCCTCTGCCCCACCCAGCCTGCTACACTTGCTTTTCAGCGCTGGCTCTGGAGCCCGACAACTTGGGCTTGAATTCCAGCTCTGCAGCTTCCTAGCTGTGTGACTTTGGGCAAGTAAGTTCCTTAACCTCTCTGTGCCTCAATTTTCTCAGCTGTGAGTGAGGCTGGTCCCTATAATGCTCCCTTAATGTCGATGTGAAGATTAAAAACGGTTCATTCATGTAAAGCTTGGCAGCACCTGGTGGGGCCAAGCCCTCCATGATGGGTGGCACCATGGCCACCACCACTGTCTGCACCTCCTTGGGCACTCACTGAACACTGGGACTGGGGGGAATGGGACAGGGCATCTGGGCCAGGGGAGAGGGGTGGCCCTTGAGCCTCCAAACATCTGCAGAGCTGGGGGATCCATAACTTCTCTAGAAGGTCGGCACCTCTCCTCTGGGTCCCATTGGGGCCTCTAGCAGCACTGACCCAGTGCCCCTTTATGGGCGGGTGAGGAAACCAGTCGGGCATGGGTGACTTGGGCAGAGTTCCTTGGAAGGGATCCGGCCTCCTGGCTCCGGACAGTGTCCCCTCTTTGGCTGAACCCCGGGGGGCCCTTAGGCCCCTCACCTTCAGGCAGGATTTAGCCTCTTGGGGGAGAACAGGGATCCTAGGGACCTTTCAGGACTGGGGACGAGGAGGAGCTCCTCCCCAGACAGGGTCAGACTGAGGGGTCCTTGGGGCCACGTTATGGCCCCATGCCCACCAGCTGCTGCACAGCCTGGGAGTACCAGCTCCGAGAGAGGCAGCACGCGTGAGCTGGAAGGACTTGGGCTGGAGCTTGGGGCTACAACCCTGCCCCTATTTCCTTTTCTGTGAATTGGGAACATTAACAGTGTCTACCCCACAAACGTGGCACATTCCAAACACTCAGTAATGTTGGGTTTCTTCTCCTATCCTTCCCACCCATCCTCAGCTCCCAGGCCCTTCCTCTCCGCAGGGAGATAAAGATATATAACAGCCATGGGTAGGCAAGGGGGCTGGCCAGGCAAGGAGAGGCCGGGGCAGTGCTGAGGCCACCTGGAGGGACACTTCACCCAGAGGGAAGCTACCTGAGTTGTTGCCAGCCAGCGTCTGGGCACTCTGGGGCCGGGAGGGCAGTTGGCCGTCGTCACTGAGGGACCGTAGCTGGTGCACGTGGGGCTGGGACTGCTTGGTCTTGGGCCTTGTAACCCCTGTGGCTGAGGAGGGCAGTGGAGGGAAGGGTCAGTTCTGAGACACCAAGTGAGAGCTGGGTGGGGATCCACGGGAATGGGGAGAGGGCTGCTGGCCACAGCTAGCTGCACCCGGGGTCCTTGGTCTGAATTCATGGATACATCCCTTATAAGCACTTCATTCATTCACATGGCCGGCCAGCCAGCCAGCTACCCCTCACTCAGATATCCTGAGAACCTACACACACCAGGCCTGTCAGGCGCTGAGTGGGTTCTGACTTGGGGGGTACAGTTCAGGGCCGGGAGGCAGCCAGAAAGGTGCAGACACAGTTCTCAGGCCTGGTGGGTAGTGAGAACAGCACATACACCTCAGGTGCGGCTACCTGGAAGTGGGCCTTCAGAGGAATGGGAGATTCACTAAGTGGTGGGGGCTCAGGAGAGGGAATTCAGGGCTTGGCTGTGGTGATGCTGGGGACAGGCTGAGGCAGCAAAGCAGCGGCCACCTGGGGAGGAAGCCTGGTGCCACAGACCCCGGCCAAGTGGCCGAGCCTGGACAGCTGTCCCCACAGGCAAACACTGACCTACAGGCTTTCGGAGGCTCGGAAGCTTGGAGTCGGAGGTGGAGGAGGAAGACCGCCAAGGTCCGGAGGCCCCGACAGTGCCTGGCCTTCCAGGAGCTGGGTGGTTCCTGTGCGACCCGAGCAAGGAGCCTGGGGGGCTTCTGGGCCAGGTGGGCACTCACTGTCTTTCCTCAGGATGTCTGGCAACCTTGTGTCCATTCGTCCCTTATAAATGTGTCCATCCAGGCCCAAGATATCCACTTCATCATGCTGTGGAGGAGGGCAGGTATCCATTAGCATGTGGCCCCCCAACTTGCTCTCCGGGCCTGCCTCCATGAGGGGCAGAGCACCAAACCGTGCTCAGAACCCTCCCACGGGCTCTGGGCGGCAACCTTCATGGCGATCCGGATCTCCTCCGTGGGGTACAGGCCCTGGGCCGGATGCTGCAGGCGGCCGTGGCGGTGTGGCTGGGCGAGGGTGTGGCTGCCTCCGCAGCTCCGAGGCACGGTGGAGTAGGTGTAATCCGCTGTGTCGGGCATCCTGGGAAGACCGCGGAGTCACTGGGAGTAGCTGTGACCCGGGACACCCATGGGGGTGCTGGCCAGAGGGGTTGGGTAGCACCCTTCAGGGGTCTCTTGCTCGGGTCTGGCAGGAGCAAGGGACAGGACTAGGCATTGCGTGAGCAGAGCAGCCTCAAGGCCGGACCATCCTGACGACCACACACAATCCGCAGGCGCACACATTAACACACTCACGTTCACATGCATTAACACTCATTCACACACGTTCTCACGCATTTTCATATATATACTCAGGTTCACACATGCATTCACGCACATCTACACACATGTTCAGGTTCTCATGTTCATGCACGCTCCCTCCCCATCAGGGCTCTCCGCAGCAGTGGGTGAGGTCACAGAGTGGCAGGAGCCGACCCCCACCGTTTGTAGCAGGGGGAGCTGAGGCACTGGGCCTGCAGCAGCTCTCGGATCATCTGGCTGCTGGCCTTGACTGAGCCTCCGAAGTGGATCTGCACCTTCTCGATGTCCATCAGCATCCTGGCGTGCATGGTGTGCAGGCGTCCCACACTCCGCTCCACCTGCGCCAGGTCGCCCCGAGGGAAGGCGGCACTGCCCAGCTTCAGGCTGTGGGTGCAGGCTGGGTCGGCTAAGGCCCCTGGGGCTGCTGGGAGGTGTTTGCTGCCCCTGAGAAGCTGGCCCTTCAAGTAACAGCCCTTCAAGTATCGCCCAACAGACTGGCCAACTTCTGACCCCATTCGGGCTTGTGTCCGTTGCCTCCACAAATTTCCCACTGACAGTGGGAAGGCTCTCTGCCCTTTCTGAGGATCCACCCAATGGGACATGTGCCCCAGGCCCCCACCTCCACAGCTTAGACAGGGCCCAGCCCACCCACTCTTTATCTCCCTGGGTTAGGAAGGGGCCTTCCCACTTAGCCCAGGGACTGAGGCCAGCCTTCTCAGGGTTCCCAGGCGGGGAACAGGCAGAAGGGCCAGCCAACGGAGAGAAGGCCAGCTCCTCTAGCTAACGCAGGCGTGGGAGAGCTGGGGTCTTTGCTGGCCTCACCCTCTTCCCTGCACACTGAGCCCCGCCCACCTGGAATCCCTAGAACTCCAACGTGCAACTGCAAAACCATCCTTCCTGTCCAGCCCCCATTCTTAGGAAAGGGAGCAGGCAGGGGAAGCCCGAGAGAGTGTGAAACGTGCCCCCCACATTGAGCCAGCGCTGTTGCTGAGGGACGCCCACCTCCCTTCCCACAGGGCTGCTGACTGCTGAGGCATCCGGGGAGCTGAGGAGGTAGAGAGGCTCTGAGAGGCAGGCAGCCCCTCGGCAACATCCCACCAGGACCCCCGCAGGGACACACAGATGGCTGATTGCCAGGTCTTCACTCTTCCTCCTCTGACACCCAGGCCCTTGGAAGAGCCGAGGGACAAGCTGGCAGACCCCACTGTCCCAGCCGTGCGGAGGGCCTTCCACATTCAACCCCCCGTCTCTGCCCTGCCACCACTGCAGGGCCCTGCGAAGAACTCCACTGCTCATACTTGCGGCTCTGCTGCCGGACCTGCTCCAGTTCAAAGACTGTGTAGGGGCGGAGAGAGCGGTGCCCGGGCAGGCCCGGGCCCACAGGAGTCACAGGGATGATTCTGGGCAGGGGCAGAGAGAAGTGGAGGGTGGGAAATCCCACCACCCCAATCTACTGCCCCCTCCCCATTCCACCTGCCTGGGGCCTTCCCACAGGGCCAGGCTGGGTGAAGGGTGGAGGGGTGGGACACAGATGAGAGGAGAGAAGGGACGGGAGGAGAGGGAGTCAGGAGGGGATGAAGGGCATACGGCCCTGCTGTGCCTGCGCCCTTTAAGCCGCCAGGCGTGGGTGGGCACTCACTCTCCAGTCACAGGTGTCTCCAAGGGACGGTCACAGGAGAGGCAGTGGAAATGCGCCAAGAGCTGCCTGTGAGGAATGGGATGCCCAGGAGGGTGACTGTCCTGCCCTGGGGGTCCAGAAAGGGGGGATGGAGAACCCAGCTCTGGGCAGGTGGGAAGCTCAGCTCGCCAAGGGGGGACGGGCCCCAGCCCTCCAGAGGCTGATGTGGGCCCTGCTGCCCGGGAACACACCGGCTGCTAGACATGCTGCTTCTGGGCAAGGATCCAGCCCCCTGGCCTAAGCCAGAGCCTGCAGGGCTCGGAAGGGTCCCTGAGGGTTCCCCAGGTAAACCTCGGGGGCCCTCTGGCGGCCAATAGTGGAAACGCTGCGATTCCAGCCTGCCCTGGGCCAGGCCCCACCAGCCCCAGCCTGGGTGGCTCTGCTCTGGGGACTTGGCCCCCGACCCTGTCCCGGGAGCTTAGAGGAGCACACCCAAGCCCAGTTAGCCTCGGCCTTCCTCCGGCGCCTTCCCCACTGTAATGTGAGGGGACCTAAGCTAAAAGCGCTTCTGAAGCTCTAAAACTCTGTCAGTCCTACTGCAGCCTGGTCCCGGGCGGGACAGCCATTCCCCTGGAGCAGGCCGTGGGCCGAGAGCTCTTCATCTGGACACCCCAGCCCGCTCACCTCCGCATGGCAGCCGCCTCGTCTGCCTGGTAGAATGGAGAGCGCTCTCTGAGCTGCTGCCGCAAGGATTCCCACCGATCCTCCAGCAACCGCTTCACTGGGTCCAGCTCCAGGCGGTCCAGCTGCGGGTGGGGTGGGGCCGGGGCATCTGAGGAAGCAGGTGGGAGTCTGCAACCCCCAATGAAGGAGGCACTATCCCAGGGCAGCGGCCCCTGCAGCCGCCTCGGCTCTCACCTTGCTGTCCATCTCTGTCAGGAGCTTGTCCAGCATCTTCTGCCAGTCCTGTTCCTGCCCGCTCATCTTGGTCACCAGCTCCTGCATCATGTGGTTCAGCTGCTCCGTGGTGGCATCAAACTGGATGCGGCTCACTTTGGCTGCCAGGGCACTCTTGTCGGCTTTCTGCCCAGAGAGAGAGAGGAGGGGGCTGCCCAGATGGGAGAGAGCCATGGAGAGGCCCCACTCCCCTGAGTTGTGAGCCCCGACGTGGAGCCCACATCCCCCCAGTGGGCTCCCCTCCACTCCTGGACTTTGAAAGAGAGACCACGAAGGCCTCTGGGGCAGAGGGGGCTCCTCCGGCCGGGGCCCTTACCACGTCGATCTCCATCGCCAAGTGTTCCTTGTTGGCCTTTTCCTTCTGGAGCTTCTCTAGGCTCTGGTACAGCACCTGCGAGGGGGAAGGAGCCGAGCGTAAGTGGCAAGGAGTCTAACGGCAGGGCTGGTCGGGGGCGAGCCGCCCCACCCGGCCGCCCTTTGGGCCCACGTCAATGTCCTTCTGCTTTTGCCGATGGTCCTCGATGAGGTTGCTGGTGGTGATGTTGAGCTTCTCGCAGTTGCCCTGCACCTGCAGGATGGCGTTCTGCACGTGGCCCAGTAGCTCTTCATCCTGCAGCAGGAGGGACAGAGGCAGGCTCCATGGGGCTGCTGGGAGGTGTTTGCTGCCCCTGAGAAGCTGGCCCTTCAAGTAACAGCCTTTCAAGTATCGCCCAACAGACTGGCCAACTTCTGACCCCATTCTGGCTTGTCTCCGTTGCCTCCACAAATTTCCCACTGACAGTGGGGAAGGCTCTCTGCCCTTTCTGAGGATCCACCCAATGGGACATGTGCTCCAGGCCCCCACCTTCCCAAGGACTAGCCTTGAGGGACCTGGTTCCCCAGCAGGGGTCATCAGTGGAGGTGATCAAGGTTCAGTCGTGAGCTGCCCTGAGAGTTGGGGTGTGGGCTGCGGTCTCCTCACCTGCCCACCATAGGCTGGGTGTCAATTGCAGAGTCCAAGAGGTGCGACTTGGATCTGTGGCTCTCCCCGCCCCCACCATCAAGCCTGCCCTTGGGAGGGGAATCAGGAAAGAGTCCAGAAGGCTGGCGTGAAGGAGAGTCTGTGGACCCCAAAGCTACACCAGTCTCCCCGAGACACATGAATGGCATTGCTCAGCTCCACCAGTGGTGCCGTCCTAAGCCAAGGAGCCAGCTCCTCCTTGTGGTCCCCAGGCCCCAGAGCTAGCTCTGCTGCCGCCCTCGCCGTGATGCTCTAGAAGGATCACGGACACTCCTGGGATCCCTAAAGGGTTCCACCATGGAAAACATAGCCCTCCCTTGGGGACCCTGCCAATGGCACCCCCTCCATGAACCTCCAGGCTGTGGCTCTGCCCATAGGCCATGTGCAGCTGTCCCAGGAGGGAGGCTAGTGGGAATCACCTGGCTCTGGAGCTTGGCTCTCTTGGAGGCCCGGGAGACAGCCAGACTGCTGACCATGTCCTGGAGCTGCTCGTAGCGCTGCACCAGTGTGCTGACCTGGTGGCTCAGGTCCAGGCTGCATGCTGGGCAGGTGGCCTCGGGGTCAATCTGGCCAGGTGCTAAGGGGGTCAGGGCCTTGTGTGGGGCCATGCTCATGGACAGCAACGTGGAAGATGAGGCCAGCATGTTCTCGATGATCGTCCTGAGCTTGTCTAACTGGGTGCAGGCAAGAAGGCAGGTGCAGGGCAGTGAGCAAGGCCTGGCCATGCTCTGCACTGCCCCTGCCTGCCATGACTCAGGCAGTCACCACACCCCCAGTGCCTCGCAGAGTGTACAGCACATAAGAGGTGCTTGATGTCTGTCCATCAAATAGAGTCCTCAGGGAATGTAGCACTAATGCAGAATAAAGCCTTTGCAGTGGAGGTTTCTGGACCTTTCTCCAGCCAGCCCACTAGTGCAGTGTAAGGACGTATCTCCTCTAACTAAATCCTAGAGTGGCCATGTCCGTTAGTCCACAAACACTTAGAGGAGCCTGAACACACACAGGCATAACTCCAGGCCCTGGGGATATGCAGGGTGGGCTCACACATGCTCTGGCCCCATCTAGTACGTAAATAATGACAAAAGAACAGGTTAATTGCTACCATTTCTACAAGGGTCTCTCATTGTCTGGGAGTGAACCAACTTCCATTGGCCTTCCTGTTCTTTTCTGGCTTCTACGGCTGGTTTGTTACTACAAATAATTGGTCTCAGGTAGGCACCTGATTCAAGGGCAACCCTTCAGCTAACGGCCCTTCAAGTATCGCCCAACAGACAGGCCAACTTCCGACCCCATTCTGGCTTGTCTCCGTTGCCTCCATTCTGACCTAGACTGACCAAAGCCCTGTGCATGTTGCTAGGCTCAGAGAGAGGGGCTGGGCCAACTTAACTCCTCTCTTGGAAGTATGTGTGGCATTGCAGGGCCTGGGCAGCCATTTTGGGCCATGTATGAGATAAGAAAGCTGATAGGATGGGGAGGGCTGTGCAACACAGAGAAGACAAGCAGTGATTTTACAGCATCTTACTGTGCTGATGAACAGTGACTGTGAAGGGGTATGTGGGGGGGACTTGTGAAGGGGGAGCCTAGTAAACATAATGTTCTTCATGTAATTGTAGATTAATGATAGCAAAATAAAAAAAATAAAAATTAAAAAAAAAGAAAGCTGAAAGGATGGGAGATGTGGGGGCATTTGCGAGACATGGATAAGGAAAAGGACAGAGAGGCACAGAAACACACGAAAACAGACACAGACAGGGAGCGGCCCAGGCAGACCGCCCCCTTGGCCTGGAAGTCCCACTCTCACTAGCCTTCTGCACACAGACACGCTTTCACCCAACTCCCTGTGCCTGAGCTCAGTGAGACTCGGCTGCTTGCAGCCAGAGGAGCCTGTGCTGTGCTGAAGAGTCTAGAAGAACATGTCAGAGGGCCCCTGGGATGAGGAGGACAGTTAATTCTCTCTAGAAGAGAAGATGTCTCCCTGAACTATGGGCATTTCAGTGGCATTGTGAAGAATAAGCAGCAGCTCTCAGGGTAAATAGGAAGAGGACATTCCAGGAAGGGGAACAGCATGAGAAAGCAGCAGTGTGTTCAGAGAAAGATAGGAAGGTGGCTCAAGCATCAGGAGTGTGAAAGGTGGTGCCTTGAAGAGGCTGTGACAGGAGGCCAGGCCTGCCAGGTAGTGGGTGGGTTCTCTCTGAGGTGTGGCCCCAGGAGCACCTTGGAGCTGCTAAGCTCAGACATGAGCCCTGGAATGACAGGTGACTCTCACACACAGTGTCTGCTGCTCCTCAAGACCCATACAGGACAATTGGCTCTGGGGGCATGAAATGGCATACACCACTGTTTGGGCAAACGGGAGTGGCTCAGGATGGGGCCTCTTGTGCAAAGGTGCTCCTGACATCTGCCTCCTGGGCCCAGGGGCTTTTCCTATCTGATCCTTCTGTGAGCACTCAGAGGGCTGTTACTGAGCCACTTCTCACTGGGAACATTCTGGGGTGACCCAGGAGAGCATCGCTCAAGATTTTAAAGCAGACACTATCAAGAGAGTGGAAAGACAAGCCACAGAATGGGAGAAGACAGCTGCAAGCCCTGAGAAGGGCCCTGGTCCCTGCGGCTGAAGGGGGCGGAGGCCTCACCTGCTCCTGCAGGTGGAGGGAGGCTTCGGAGACGGAACGTTCCACGCTGACCTTTCCCCGCTCTTGACTCTCCCTCAGCTCAGCCAGTTCCTTCTCAATGTCAGCCACGGTGACTCTGTGTACACAAGAGGTGGCCTGGCCCCACCGCTGGCCCAGGGGCTTGGGCCCTCCAGTGCCTTCAGGGATCGAGGGGGATACAGAGCAGGGCTCCCTTGGCCCCCTGCGGCCGGCTCTGCCTCGGGAGTCCGCAGCCCTGCTTGTCCGGGAGTGGGTGCCCAGGGTGCTGGCCTGAGGGGCTGCCGGGGCTGAGACTGGGCAGTGTGGAGAGGGCTCCCAGGGGGCCCTTGCAAGCGCTCCCCTTCCGCCTCCACCTGGGGCAAAGTCTCAAGAACTTTCTTTATTTTTTGGCTCTTTTAAGCCCAGGTGCTGAGCTGTTTAACGAACCCAGGACAACCTGAACTAGATGTGGACAACCTGAAGAACAGACACGATTGGGTCAAAGACAGTGGTCATCAGGGTGGGAGTGAGCCAGGATGCAGCTGCACTCGGCAGGGGACTTTACCTGAGGGTACCCAGCTGCAAGCTCAGCTGGCCATCTTTCATCTCTTCCCCCTTTCCTTGCTCCCCTTCGCCCTCCAGGATCCTCTGCATCTTGTCCAGCTACAAACCCAATGGAAAAGGAGGGTCAGGCAGGCTTGAATTCTCTGCTTTTGGGTCTCCACAGCCGAGCAAATGCTCCCCCATGCCCTAATCCTAATCCAACCCTCTGACAAAAACCGAGGTCCCTTCCTAACCTCCATCCATCCACCTGTCCATCCCTGGATGTAGACAGCTGGCACTGAGAGACCACCTGAAGACCTAGCAGCCCCTTGCCATGCCCGCTTCCTCTGCCCACACACTTGGCTCTGAGGCTGCTCCAGGGACTGTGGATCTCACTGGAAATAACCCCAGGTAATGAGAGCACAGGCCTCCTTGCGGCTGAGTTAAATTTAACAGCTTTGAGCATCAAGTTTTAGACCCAGGCAGTGAAGTCAATGATACCTGAGGCGCATTTCCTGTCTGGTGGGCCTGTAAGGCTGCAGTGAGAGAATAATGGGAGCGAGAGGGTATGTGACCCAGAACGCAAGCGCAGAGTCGGGCTGCTGACCTCAAGGAGGAGCAGGCGGACCCTCCTCACTTACTTTGGCTTTATCTTGCTGAACTTCTGCAGTCAAGGTCTTGAAGGTGTTGAGCTGCTCCTGTAGGTCGGGGGGTACGGTCTTTTTGGCTATGGGAAATGGAGGCCGTGCGTCAGCAGGGCTGCATTTCCAGTGGGCGCCCCACCCCCACTTCGGGCCCCTACAAAGAAGCTGCCCCAGAGAACTGAACATGTCCCTTGTCTGGCTCTTCCTGGTGCTTGCGGGGGAGAGCACGGGAAGAAAGGGCACAGGAACGGCCTTAGCTAATAAAAGCCCGCTGGTGCTTACTGTCCGCAAGGGCTCTGGCACCGCCAGGCGGTGCCCCCCAGCCGGCTCTCAGCCTTCCTCGCGCTCTCCCCCAGCCCAACCCCCAGGCTGTTGCCGCTCTTCCCCCGCTGCACTCCAGAGTCTGACAAAGGCATCAGAACTGGCCCCATTCCCTCCTCACTTCCTCACTCCTGCTGGTTTAATTCCACCTTTTGGGCCCTAAGGGCTCTAGGAGACCCCGGAATGGCTAAGAACAGACACGCTGCTTTACAGGGACTTGGGAAGAATCCCCACTGCCAGGAGTTGAGGCCAGTAGGAGAAAAGGATGCAATCAACTTCAAACAACTAGCAGTCTCTCCTCTGCTAGTGGTACCCACCCATCAGAGTGAGCAGGTACTGAATCTTCTCCAAGTCGGTCTGGCCAGCTTGCTCCTCATCCAGATTTTCCGTGTTCTTCTTTAGCTCCATATAGAGACCGATGAGCTTTCCCATCAGACGAAATGCTTCCACTGCCATTGGGAAGCTAGAAGCCAGTTTATCCAGGGATGCACGTCTCTCTCTCTGGGTGTCACTCTTTCCTGGTGAGACTTGGTAGAAACTGCTAAGGTAGTCTTCATTCCTGGAAATGGAAGCCTCTTGGCTTGCGGTAGTTTGGAGAGAAATCCCAGGTTGGTCTGCTGTATGTATTTGATTTGGATCCGAACCTACCCGGATGTACTGATCTACACCTGGGTACCCTGGGCCATGAGGGCCAGGATACATCACGTCATGGGAGTCTAATACTGGATATGCACGGCCACGCTGATCTGGGCCAGGTGACAGCAAATGTCGTTCTTCTAGGTGTGCAGATCCCACACTTGTGCGTGATGGTGTTGGGCCATCCCGGGCTGTGCCAGGATGCATACGACCTTGCTGATGAATTTCTGGTGGTACCAAACCCTCTTGGTCTATGCCTGTTGATGCCAAATCTTGACTGGCTAGGAGTGGTGGTACCTGGCCATGTTGATCTCTGCCAGAAGGTACCATTCCATGCTGATATGGGCGAGGTGATAAAAAACTTCGAGAACCTGTGTGGAATGTTGGAAGGCCACGAAACTCTGTGCCTGGCAATATCAAACCTCGTAAATCTGTACCATGTTGCCTCAAACCACGCTGATCTATTCCAGGCTGGACCAAAGCAGGCTGACCTGGGCCAGGCTGGATCACATGCTGCTCTGTACCAGGTTGTATGAAGCCAGATGTCTCCAAACTGGGCTGCACAAAACCTCGCTGAACTGTAGCAACTTGCACTAAGCCAGGCGATACCAAACCATGCTGATCCGTAAAAGGTAGAACCGATCCATGTCGGTCTACATCAGAAGGTATGGGTCCTTGCTGGTCTGTGCCAAACATTACATATCTATGCTGATCCATGCCAAGTGATCCCATGTCACTGTCATCTGTCCCAGGCTGTTCCATACCACGTTGATCTGTGCCAGGAAGTATCATGCCATGCTGATATGTGCTGAGTGGAACCACAGAAGACTGATCTGGACTAGGTAGTACTAATCCTTGCTGATCTCTGCCAGGTACCAGTGGTGGCACCACACGCTGACTCACGCCAGGTACTACCAATCCCTGCTCGTCCATTCCAGGTGGCATCACACCAAGCTGACCCATGCTAAAGGGTACCACACCCTGTGGGTGAGCACTAGGATGGAGCAGTATAAGTGGATCCATGCCAGCTGGGCCTGATCTATGCTGACAGATATGACCCTGGCTAATGGGCAGCCCCCCATGCTGATCTGGGTGTGCGTGGTGATGCCCGTCTCTGGCCGAGGGTGAGTCCTGTTGCTCAGGGCCAGGGTGTGCATCTCGGTCATCTCTTCTCAGATGCGGAGGTAAGCTAGTCCTGTGACGATCAGACTCTGTTTTGAATTGGGACACGGGGGGGTGATGGGGCTTTGCCAGGCCCGCTTCATCACCGGCCCTTACATGCTGTTCTCTATCTGGAAACCCAGCAGCAGAGGTAACCCTGCCCTGTTCCCTGCTAGCAATCCCTTCGGAGGGGTATCCAGTGCCACTGATGCCTAACAAGGTCCGATCTGAGCCCAAACCACTGGCAGAATCTGGAGCCTGGTCAATACTCGGGTGTTTGGTGGGGACTCCACTGTGGGCTGCACCATTTGATGTAAAAGAAGCCTGCCCTTTGTGCTTCGGAAGCCCTGCTGTTGGGGACTCCAGGCCCTGGGTGAAGAGGAGGAAAGAAGTCAGTAACTACAGTGAAAACACACCACGAGACTTGGAGGGAAGGAAATTGGGCCTATCCGACTAGGATGACTTACAGCCGGCCCTTGGGGAAAAGTCCCTTCTGGTCCCAAACACTAAGCTGGACACAAAGAGTGACTTTGACATTCTTGAAGAATAGGTCTTTAGGTTTTTGAGAATCTGCACATTTGCCAATGACATCATAATCTGTGATTTCCCTCATAAAAAATGGGGAACACCGCAAAATACAAATGACCCATTCCAACTCTCCCTGAGTCTACACATAAGGGACAGAGCAATTACTAAGTTTAAAATATAAAGTCCGCCTCATCATCGGCCCGTTGCTGATGGTAAAACTACTCTGCAGGGCAAGTAAACTGCGTATTTAAGATGTAAATGCACAAACCCTTGGACCCAGAACTTCCACAGACAGGAATTTTCTCTATGGACTCTCACAAAAGGATGCCAAGATATATATACAAAGAGCCTACAGCATTGTTTATGAAAATAGATTATCAATAGGGAACTGCTATGTTTATGGCACACAAATATAGTAGAATACTAAGAATCTGTTTAAAAAGAACAATGGACTATTTCCATTTCCAGCCCAAATGGAGTAACAGGGAATGCATTTACCCTTTTCCGTAACAACCAGAAACAAAACACAAAAAGCAACAACTCTGAAACTGGTTTTCTAGATACTGGATATTGGCTAATGACAGCTAGCAGTTCCGGAAAGATGGGAAGACAACCTGTGTGAGCCCCACTGTTGCCTCGGTTTACCACCTTGATAGTTTCCAGTCTGCAGTGCAGGGAGGGGGATGGAAAGGAGGCCCAGCAGACTCCTGATTTGAGGAGACAGAGCTGAGCATTCAGAGGGACAGAGGCAATGAGACTCACAGGACAGAGTATCAGAAAGAAAGGGATGCATGTAGAGCTGGCACAAGAGATCTGCAGAGGGGACCCTCAGATGCTCTGCACAGAAATTATCAGCATGCACACATAAGGAAACTACCCAAGGTTGGGAGAAGAACCATCTGCAAGGCTAGAGGGAACAGTGCCTAGACTCTGTTGGAGTCTGTGGGGTTGGGAGCAATGCCTGTTTCCACCAGCCAGTTTGGGGGAGAAAACTCATAATTAAGGGGGCAGACTCAGAGGTGTTGCCTCGGGAGTGGAGAATAATCAGTTCTACATTGACTGCTACTATGGACCCCCTGAGAAAATAACTCAAAAAATATGCAGTAACAGAAACAAGAAAGGAATTAAAATGGTACACTAGAATATTTGTGTAATACAACGAAGATAACAATTGAGGGATGGAGGAAGAGGAAAGACATAAGACATACAGAAAACAAACAGCAAAACGGAAGGTGTAAACCCTACTTCATCAGCATGATTGGAAGCGCTCCAATCAGAAGGCAGAGATTGGCAGAATGGATTTAAAAACATGATCCAGGAGGCCCCCGGTCGCCGCAAGGGCCCTTTTCTTTTTTGGGCCTGGAGTCATGAGAGACCCGCATCCGTGGCTGGGTGGCCATGGCCAGAGGGGGCGTGGGAGCGACAGCTGGTGTGTGTGTTCTGGTGGGGAGTGGAGTCGCTGGCCTAGTACATACTCACCTTGAAGAGGAGGACGGGACAGAAGACCAAGCCCTGCATCTCTGGACGTTGTTTACTACCTCTGTGTTGTTCTAAGACAAAGTCAAGAATGGAAGGACTCATCGTGCCTTAAGGACAACTGGATAACTGAGAAACGACGACACCAGAGTCTGTTGTACACGGGAAAATGAGGCCAGAATTCCAGAAAAGTTCAGTTTGCCTCAAGAATCCTACAGGAATAGAAATTATCTGTGGTCTTACCAAAGGAGGACCTGCCAAACTTGAGACAATCAAACTTTGATATGATACTAAGATTTTCTCTCAAAGAGAAGATGCCCAACATGCCATAGTATCATTGTCAAGTGTAAGCCAGTTACAGATTAATGTTGAGTAAAGTTACTGCAACTAAAAGAAAAAGATTATGCTATTGAAACTGGTCTGTTCCTACTGTAGAAGAGAAGTACCCTTATATGGTAGAATGGCAGACTAAATCACATGTTTTCTTGTTTAACAGGCTCTACCAAAAGCTAAGCTTAAAGAAACTGTGGCAGAATCTGAAGTCACGCTCAAGGAAGGAGATGAGAATGTCTTCGATAAGCTCCAATAGCAGTGTCCCCGCGCTCACATGTCCAGAGGACAGTCAGTGATGTACTAGCGGAAGGTGTCTATCAAGCTAGGACTAAACATCCAAATGTCCAAGTCAGGTACAGCTTCATGGGTTTTGGTGAAAATGGGGTGCTCAAAAGACTTAAAGGAAAGCTAATTCACAAATTTAACAAACATGACGGTCACAGAGGATTAACGATCTTAACGATCTCAGAGTATTTCAATCCATTGAAAGACAGTAACAATAGCGGAGACTCCAAAGGAGACTTAAGAATGGCAGATGGAGTGGTTAACACTGAACACATTCTGGAAGTTGGATATCTAAATGATAGAGTGGATGACCTTTTAGAAAAGTACGTGGATTCTTATGATATCACTTTAGTAAAAGATGAATCACTGGAGGTGGACAACTCTGTCTTACAGAAGATTCTGTAATTATTCAAGACAACTGATACAAGAACTCTTGTCTGTCACCTTGCTGAAAGATTTTTACTTATAATATATTCTTGCTCATGAAGTTTGCCTTGACTGACATCGCTGAAGTATTTTCAGATAATTTGAATCCATCGACTAGAAGCTTGTTTCTCCACTTCTCTCAATACACTCCTGAGTGTATTTTTTAACAGATTGAAAAAAAAAGATCTTAAAGCCAAAATTTAAAAAGTAACTCCCTACTTCTCCAAAGTGAATTTTGTAGTTTATGTTATCACAGTTTTTGAGGAACTTTTCACACTGGCAAAGTTTGTCAAAGTTTAAAAAGTTTTACAAAATGGTGAAATAATGTGCATGAGTGTAAGTATTGCCCTTTTGTAATTCTGGTAAATTATGCTGATGGTATACCCATATGTAATTGATTTATATGTGGTTATTTTGTTTCAGGAAAATTGATATTTACCAGAAAATATTGGTACCTGGTGTTTGAAAAAAATCTTGGTATCCATATGCCACTAATCACTGCAAAACTATTCTATAGTGGTAATAAATAATAAATGAAAAGCCAAAGTAAAAACCACCCACATGTGCTCCAACTATATGCTGTCTACAACAGACACATGTAAGAGAGACACAAATAGGTAGAAAGTAAAAGGATGGAAAAAGGGACTGTATGACCCACAAAAGCTAAAATATTTGCCTGGCTCCTTCAGAAAGTTTGCCGACTCCAAGAATAAAGGCCCCTAGAAATACACTACTGTGAGGTGTTTATTCTATTTGTGAAGTGGTGTAATATCACCTAACAGTAGATTGTGATAAGCTACAGATTTATAAACCAAAAACCCTAGAGCAACCACCAAAGTAACACCAGTTATTATAGCTAGTAAACCAACAAAGGAAGTTACAAAATATTCAATTCAAAAGAGGTGGAAAAAAAGGGAGGAAAAGGAACAAAGAGCAGATGGGACAAACAGAACACTAATAGCAAGATGAGAGACTTAACCCCAACTTTATCCATAATCACATTAAATGTACACGACCTAAATAGACTGATTAAAAGACACAGGCTGTCAGACTGGTTAAAAAAGCGAGAACTATATGCTTCTTACAAGAAACACACTTTGCATAGAGAGACAGAAATAGATTAAAACTTAAAAGAATGGGGAAAGATAGACCATGGTCACACTTGCAAAAGAAAAAAACAAGCTGGAATTGCTGTATTACTATCAGAGTATATTTCAGAACCAAGAATATTACTAGGGATAAAAAGGCCATTCCTTAATATAAAGAGATTGATTCAACAGGACATAATGATTCTAAATCTTTATGCACCTAATACCAGAGCTTTAAAATACATGAAGCAAAACCTGATAGACCTGCAAGAATGGCCAAATCCACAATGACAGTCACAGATTGTATTACCTTTCACTCGATAATTGACAGAAGCAGGTAGAAAGTCAGCAAGTACATTGTATTCATTTTTTGGAGCTGTCATAACAAAGTACCATAAACTGAGTAATTTATACAGCTTAAGTTTATTGTCTCAGTTCTGGAGACTAGAAGTCCAAGATTAAGGTGTGGGGAGGTGGGTTTCTTCTGAGGCTCAGAGGGAGAATCTGCTCCGTGCTCTCTCCCCACTTCTGGTGGCCTCAAGTGTTCCTTGGCTCATAAGTAAGGCCATCTTTCCTCTGTGTGTGTCTGTCTCTGGGTCCACATGTCCCTTGTCATAGGGCCCCCCTAATGACCTCACCTTGATCATCTGCAAAGACCTTATTTCCAAGTCAGGTCACATTTACAGGTACTGGGGGTTAGGACTTCAACATCTTCTGGGAGGTGGCTGTATGGGGCATGGGGGGATGACACAAAGTTTAACAGATACTGTAAACTTGAACACTATCAACGTACTTGACCTGATATTCATAGAATTCTTCATCCAGAAATAGCGGAAGACACGTT